GCTCCCAATCCTTCTTCTTTTGGGAACCCTAGATTAACAACCCCATGACCATTCTCTAATTTTCATCACCAATTTTTGCTCTTCATCATCTTTCATCACCAATCTCCTCCCTCCAAATCATTCTCTTCTGCATTTCCCAACTCTCTAAGTTGTAGACCATTATTTCCACCTCACAGCAACTGTACATCATCTCCAATAGCACCTGGGTTTATCCTTTTTGCTAGAAATCGCCAACCTCCTCAAATTCCTATTGTCTTTGCAACTCGGGTCTTCATTTCTAGGAGGACTTGTAGCCCCTTACCAACGTTTTGGTAAGATTAAGTAGGAAATTATTTCCTTTCCATAATTCTAGGAGAAATAGTGTGAATATTGATTGTTTAAGTTGGGAATTTCTAGCTACCTTTGTTTCACTTGAAGTGCCTGAAGTTGATGGGTTAAAATTTACGCTTGAAAACTAGTTAGCACTCATTCTTTTTTGTTTTGTTTTTTACTGTTATTGTTGAGTAATTCTACAAAGAGGGAGGTTTTCGGGAGGGCTATGTGAAAGATTGAGATTGGAAATTCCATGGGATCATATGTGTGTTTGTTCATTATTTTCTTATAAGGATCTCAAAATTGAAACCCTTTAAAACTTTGCTGACTATGATCAACCTTGATGCTGTCTCTATATTAAACTTTATTAATTAAAGAGGGTTATAAGTTGTCGAGACTCTGCTATAAACACCTTTGTTGTTGCCCAGTTTTGGTTGTTCAAAATTCTGCCTTGTTGCTCTAGTCTTTTTATTGAATTCCACATGTCCAACTACTGACATAATTGGATTGATTTCCCGTTTTTATAATAGATAAAAAAAAAAAGATTATAATTTTGTGGCTGTAAGTTGTGTAATTTTGTGTTAAAATTCTATTCAATTATAGCCCTTGTTATGCTTCGATTTTTGTTAGATTTTAGCCCTTAAAATGTGCACTTTTGCTCTCAAAATGTAGCTGCATCGCTTGGTTTTATATTGCAATAAAACAACATTTGCTCATGAAATTTACTGCACTAGCCATGCTAAAATTTGCTTAGAATAGCCCAAACTTTTCTAGTTGATGGCTGCTGTGTTTTGCTTAGTTTTTTCTTGAGTTTTAATCATTTTTTGCTATTGTTTCAACCTAGAAATGCCCAGAAACTTCTTCTATCTCACCAAAAAATTTTACTATTTTGCTCATAAATTACTACCATTTTTGCCTAGAAAATTCTGCTATTTTATCTAAAAAATTTTGTTGTTTTTACTTTAAAAATTTTGCTAGAAAATTTTGCTGTTTTACTTAAAAATTTTTTCTATTTTGCTATTGTTTCATTATTGTTTGCCCAAAAATTTGTTGTTGTTTTTACCCAGAAAGTTCTACTGTGTTGTTGTTGTTTTACTACTGTTTTGCCTAGAACTAGTACTATTTTGCCTAGAAATAATCACTATTACGTGTGACTTTTGGTGATGTTTTAAACACATATTGATATGTTAATAAGAGTTCAATGGGTAGAAATAGTAAGGATGTATAGGAAGAAATTGTTTCTTTGAATAAAAACTTGATATTGGTATTAGAAGCCAATTTAGCTAAATGGAGTATTTTATAATCTTGTTTATTCTTTGATGTGACAGGTTCTAAGTCACCTTCGTCTCCTTAAAATCTTGAAACTCTTGCTTATTGTATAGCTACAAGATGAGGTAAGTAAAAGTATGGTAATGCCCTTGGATTTTGAGATAAAGGTTTTTGAAAGCATATTTCATATGTTTTTTTTTGAGATGGTGGAGGGACTAAACCCATTTTACACAAACACAAGCATGATTGGTTTGAAATAAAATTATTATCATTTTTTTTAAAGTTGAGTATGCCTACTTGGAGTTTACTTGACTACCCTTATGATTTGGAAGCTAATTGTAAATTATGTTTTTCCTATTAACTCCTACATGGTTTTGTCTCCAATATGGTCATGTTTTACTGTGCCCACCAGTGAGAGGTTTATAAATGTCAGCACATGTCGGCATGTTAATTGTGGAACCAGTTGATGTTATACTTGCTATCTTGCTTGTGGGATTATACACTAGCAATTTTTGTGCTTGCCAGTGGGAGATTTATAATGCTAATCATGACTTATAGAGGAGACATCTATTTCATTCCCATACTTGTACTGGTTTTATCTTGGTACTTGATTACATTGTTGGTATGCTTTAACTTTAAATAAGGATTACTCATCTTTTACTTATTGAGATATCTCATTATTTTTCCTTGTCCACCATTTTAGGTAGTGAGACTCGAGATGGAGGGAACCAAGGGAAGTGATGAGCTAGAAAGTTAGCCTATTGTCTTTTGGAGTTAGGCCACTAAACAAATAATAATAATAATAATAAAATTGACATAGCCTTATGCATTTGTGAGATCCTTTCATAAGTGTACGATGTCTGTTTTGTTCCCAATTCTGGGGCGTGACATGTAATACATACCTTTGTCATTATCTATTTAAGTATTTCTCACCAAGCCTTAAAGAAATGAAGAGACAACTCCATCATGAAGATAAAATCCAAAGACTAAGAACTAAGTGTCTCGAGAGGAAAAATACAAATACCAAAACAAAAATATTTAGTAAATTATAAATTTAGTAAATATAATGCATTAAACTCCCCTACTTTTTAGTCACATATAAAACTATTATTGACTTGTTATAACATTAATGTGCTACAACATATGGTTGCCCAAAATACCTTCTCTTGATATTTATATTCCCTAGATATTATTAAGATTTTATTATCATATTTTTTAGATTCTTCAATTTGGTATTGCCTTACAGTTTCTAAGGGAAAAAATGGAAAGGGATATTGGGAGATTTACTTATTTGATCCATTGATTTTCATACCAAATTTGAACATGACTAACTTTATAAATATGTTGTTTTGAAGATAAGACATAAGATTATTTACCTTGCATATAAAAGAAATAGAACAATACTAACAACAAAAGAAAAAATTGGTGATGATATCGTTCAAATTGGTTTTCTTTGTTGCATTCTTGATGTTTTAACTTGCTAAGTGATATCCTTTTTTTCATATGTACTTATTCTTTTAACAATTAATTTCAGTTCCAATGAAAATTATTATTAATTTTATTATAATAATAATGTATTTGTGAGTTTTTATTGGTTGAAATATCTTAATGTTGGTTTACACATTGTAATGAAAGCAAGAAATCTTACTATTCACTACGCAAAAGATGTAGATTGTCCAATCCGAGATGCCACTGTGGTGCTCTCAATCTTTGTTTATAGGGAAGATCTAATAGAATTATTGGAACAAACAATGTTCAATCATCTAGAAGTGCAAAAGAAAGTGCCATTAATGGGGAAAAAGATGATTGAAGGGTAAACTGTGTTGAAAATAAAAAATATAGATAAAATAACCCATAATCGTTATGGAAGATCGTTTAACATTTTATTTTTTAATAATAACCCATATTGTTGTCAAAAACTTGTATGTTCTAGCCAAACAAAAAATATAAATATAATTTAAGTGAGAAAAATGCAAATCGATCTTACCTCTTAAGAAAGTAGAGGTTTAAAGAATTAAAATTATATCATTTTAATAAATACATACTAAAAATGTTTAAATCAACTCTTTTGAGAAAGAGACTTGGATTATTTTTT